CCATTTGTAATATTTGTGTTCTGATTGCTTTCTTGGTAGATCTTATATGGACTTCTCTTGGCAACTTGTTTTTCATTGCATATCTTCTAAAGACTCGAAACCCTCTATCTGTTCCTTCCATCAACTTCCCTTTGGTTATTACCGATTCTTCTGCCAAAATTTCTCTCATTACTTCTGCCAAATTTTCTCCCTTTTCTTCTTCTATGTTTTGGAATCTGAGGTAAAGTTCCAATCTGTCAATCTCCCATTTCAATATTCCACTCCTGTCATTTCCAACCATGCTCAATCAGTTGTCAATATCAACAATGTTCTTATCTCTTTGTTCATCTTTTTCTTCAATTTTTTGAACTCTGTCCTCAAATTTCATCATTTGGTAATTATTCTCAACTTTTTCATCTATTTTTTCTGTTCTTTGTTCTATATTCTCCATTCTCTTTTCAATGCTCTCTGGTCTTACTTGTATTTTTTGAATTTCTTGCATAATCATTTGCAATGTTATTCCTTTTCTTTTTCATGTTGCGCCATTCCTCCAGGTAGTAAACACTGCCACTATAGCACCCAACGCTTTTATTATTAAATTCCAAACAAGTTCACTGCAATCTTTCAAGTCAAGGTCTTATTTTCACTTCAGTCCAGCTACTGATAAGTACCCCAGAGGAGCACCTGTATAAAAAAACCGTGCTCTTCCCGCTATCATTTTCAATAAACAAACTCAGAAACCTTGAAATATAGACCAAATGTTCAAAGAGAAAAAAGAAAAACAATATTTCCAAGTCTCCAAGCCTCCAAGTAGCAATGTTACTTCTTTTTCCTCTGCTTTTACTCCCCTCTTTATATTCCAAACTTAAGGAGAAAGGTTCTTAGAAAAACAATCCAATAGAGAGTTGAAAAAAGAAAAGTATTTAAAAAAAAGAAAAATAGAAGAAGAAAAAACCCAGTCCAGCTTAAAAAGTAAGAAACATTTGTAAAAATTCCATCCATAAAAAAATTAAAGAAAGATAACCACTAAATTGACTCAGGCTTAATCTCACCGCTTAATCTCTTCTGTCTTCAATTTTAATTTTACTTTTGATCTTTTTGGGTGTTCTCTTCTCTAATAATAAAATTTATCTCACCAATTTGACACATTTTCTCTCCCACTTTCCTTCCGTTCTGGAGCTGTCCCAACTTTCAGCAGCTTCAATAGCTACTTCTCTATGGCTAGAAAAAAGAGCTTCTCCTGGATCTACCAGGACTTTGTGATGTCCCTGGGATCAGCAGAATGTGCCCTTCTCTATCACCGTCTCTATGGGACAGTTTAGGTCCAAAAGGACCATCCAGCGGCAGAGATGTCGACGGCGATCTTGGAGCTCCAAGATCACATGCCGTATCGTCGTGACGTCAGCCGTGCCTCCCTTCAAATCCATTGTTGATGTCCATTTTGCTCCCTGAATATATGGAGATCTAATCCTAACCCAACATGGATTTGCCAATTGAGTTTTCCCATGTATTTTAGAGGATTACCATGTCAGCTGCCACTATTATGGGACGAGTTGTGTTTTGGTTTCATTTAAATGATAACTTTGAAATTTACCACTGCAGCATAAATACAGCTGTTTGTACATTATAAGCAGTCTCTTATATTTACATCCTCTTTTTTTTGGTTGCATTCTCTGGATGATTGTATATGTTATGTTCTTTAGGAATTGTAATATGGTAACTAGTAATTCACTTTATTATATATACTCATATTTTTAAAAATACTCTACAAGTTAATGTTATTAAATTATTCCCTAAGTTTATATCACTGTTTGTGTATTTGAGTGTTTCCTACCCCACTCCAATAAACAATTCTGAAATCCTGTACACATTAGCCTGAAAATAAATTAAAGAGTAAGGATGACTTTCATATTTGTCTGCCTGCCTGTGATTCCTCCGTATATTACTTCACCATACAGATGTTGCAGTTATGTATTTATTCCGATTTAGTGCATAGAATAAATATTGGAAAAAGCATGACACAGGGATAACGTTTACCCATATTTTAATTTATTTTAATGTAGGTTACTTTTAATATAAAAGACCCCCCAAAACTATGAAAAAAATAGTAGATAGTAAAACAAAACAGGAAAATAAACAATATTAAGCCAGTGATAAGAAAACAAGTGTGCCTAAGCCAAGCAACTGTATGACCAAAAATTCAATAGGGAAAATGGAGATTGGCAAGATATTCCATTAAAAAAGCAGAATTATGTGTGCTTTTAAATTGTGCAAATATGTTTGTATTCCAGCCTATCTTTGCTAAACATCCAAGAAATAGATGGGTCCGTTTGCCACTTTCTGACCTGCTCATAAATTTATCTTTCTGATTTATCTTTTTTGATTTTATGACAGGGTCTGTACGTTTTTCATCTTTCATTTCATTTTTCATCTTTCATACAAATTGCTCCATGATCTCCCCCCCACACACCTTTTTCATTACTCTACCCATACATCTTTCTTTACTTCATCTTAAGTACATCTGGACTAGAATCTTTATAGCATTCACCCAATCGTCAATTCCAGCCACTGCAACTCATATCATCGTTGTCTTTACTAACTGGCATTTTTGTCCAACTGCATCCCCATCCCCATTAATCGGCTTATTATCTGGATATCAACAAATCATTGCTCAGCCCAAATTCAGCCATGTAGGGAAATTGCAAAACGTTTTCATAATTAGCAAACGATCTGTGGTTTTAGAGGAAGTATTGCGGTTTCTATTTTTCTCGGCCTCTAAAAATAGAACCAGAGCTAAAGAAAAAAAAAAGAAAGCTAAAAAAGAGAATCATAAGGATGTGGGCTCCAGAACTGACGTTTTATACTCTGCCAAGACTCCTCCAATGCTTGTTAACAATAGGCAATGTGGTAGTCTAATGTTTTATGAACTGAAATGGCAATTAACCTCTACTGCAAATAGATTAAATCTGGGTGATGTTAAAACCCAAACACCAGTGAATCCTATCTGAGCCCACATTCACTAGGGAAAAATGCGACCCCTGGACTCAGCCAGAGGCATAATGAACCGGTCACTCTGACACTCTCCCACTCTTATAGCGTCATCGTTGGTATAGAGAATAATCTGTTTGTTCTCAGGCCTCCTGGATTCACGTTTGACCTAGATCTGGAATGTCATGAAAGCAAATGAAGCTTCAAACACCTGGGTTGTGCTATTTCTGGAGAGAGTATCTCAATTTCAGATTCGACACATTCACTTAGGGCCTTTCTCTGTTCATTAGTTGAGTTCCACCCATGGTTGAAACTATAAGGAATATGAACTTGGCTATTCTCGTTTGCGATCCCTTTATTGCTTCTAGTGTCTTTGAATCTCGTCATAGCCCTGAGTTCTCTCCAAGACAAAGATGACAAAGTCATAACAGATTTTAGCAGGAGCAGCTTCAAGGCATCTGTCAGAGGAAAGGAGGAAATATTTGTGGCTAACCATGAATATGTTGGTCTCAAGTGGGTTAGGCAGTGCCATGTGAATCCAATGGGAAAAAACAGGCAGGAGATCTTTGTGTTTTGGTTGAAAGCAAGTGGGGAGATAATATAGCCCAAATCACGTAAAGGCAGAATTAATAGCTACCTGGGGAAGAAAATCAGCATCAACATTTACTAGAGACATTGAAATGGAGATCATATCTAGCCACCATATGTTGATAGGGGCCCTTGTTTTAATCATCTTAGAATCAAATTTTCTAAAGGAACCAGTGACACATTTTGGATGATTCTACACTTTAGACTTGATATCTGTGCTGTCCTTTTGCTAAGTGCAATGCTCTGCATTCTATAAAGCAAGGCTCCAATAATCATTTCACTGGGAAAAACAATTTTCGGGTTACTCTTCTTATCAACCGATTGGTCAATATCTTTTTATTGAGCAATTTCCCTCCCCCCCCAGCAAATTAACTGCCTCCCTGTTCACTCAAGACCACCTCAGAACTACATGAATTGTTTTAATATATAAATGGAATACCCCTCAATTAGTTAAACTCTAACCCATATCCCCTCCCACCTTCATGCGTTATAGAAGAATTTGAAGAAAAAGGAAAAGTTGACGTTTGAAAGAATAATTGCATTCTCTACACAGAGAAGTTAGAAGGAACCCAAAGTTGATCCAGCCATTGTTCTGTCCAGTGTTCATTCAATTCCCCAGGAATAATTTCCTCCTCCTGGTCCTGCTCCTGGCACACTCCAAAGCAACACATCCTGGGGTCGCTGAGAAGAGGAGAAGCTTTCCTAGAAGATAGCTTCTCTTTCATGGTCCATCTCAATGGCCAATCATGCAAGCCATTTTGTACGCTACAGCAGAAATGAGAGCGGCTCCTCGGCCACTGCCTTCTTCTGACTGCAGGAAGGCGATGTCACAGCCCGGAGTGAGTTGCCTAACTGATGCATGGAAACGCTCTTTGAAACTGTGAACAGAAGGAAAACAGGGAGGGAAGAAGGAGAAAGGAAGAGTCAGTGTTTCCAGGATCACCCTTTTGAATTACTGTATATACTCGAGTATA